AATCAAGTAGCAGAAGTGCTGTGTACCGTAGTGGTCAGTAGCTTCTTGTAGCACTTTATTCTTAGCTTCTCAGTTTCAGTGTGAGTGCATGTGGACTCCTCCCCGGGAGACCTCCTTGGGTGCCTTTCCACCTTGTCATTCTGTTTTTCACGTTTTCTTGATGCTAATTAATAGCCAGCTCCTTTCTCAGAGGTGAAATTTAATGATTTAATTTCCTTACTTATTTGTATTTGCTTATATGGATCCATTTTCGCAAATGGATTTAGAATTTTTCTTTCACATTCCAGTAAACATCTTTTTACACACTGTTGCAGACTTTTCATTTTGTAGCCTACCGTTACTGTGCTGCTGCATTTTGACTGACGTTTTTACATTTTACACAGGTGATATTCTTGAATTTCATGGTCCAGAGGGAACAGGAAAAACCGAAATGCTTTATCATTTAACAGCACGATGTATACTTCCAAAATCCGAAGGGGGACTGGAAGTAGAAGTCTTATTTATTGACACAGATTACCGCTTTGATATGCTCCGGCTGGTTACAATTCTCGAGCATAGACTGTCCCAGAGTTGTGAAGAAATGGTCAAACAGTGCCTGGGAAGGTTGTTTTTGGTGAGCTGCGGTAACAGCACCCAGCTGCTCCTCACGCTGTACTCCCTAGAAACCACGGTTTGTAGCCACCCTTCCCTCTGCCTTTTGATCTTGGATAGCCTGTCCGCCTTTTACTGGATAGACCGCGCCAATGGAGGAGACAGTGTTAACTTGCAGGAGTGCACCCTGAAGAAATGCGCTCAGTTCTTAGAGAAACTCGTAAGTGAGTATCGCTTAGTTCTTTTTGCAACAACACAAAGTCTAATGCAGAAAACCTCAGACTGGACAGAAGGGCCTCCGCCTGCCTTTAACCGTCCAAGTGAGGCAGATGTGGACTACAGACCCTATCTCTGTAAGGCATGGCAACGAGTAGTAAAGCATAGGATATTTTTCTCCAAACAAGAGGATTTTAAAACCAGCAACCAGTTTTCTTTAGTTTCACGTCATTTAAAAAGTAACAGTTCAAAAAAGCACATTTTTATTATTGGAGAAAGTGGCGTTGAGTTTTGTTGATATGTGTCATAAAATAGTGTTTTTCAGGATTTCATGCAAAATCTAAAAAGTCTTTAATGGGCTAAAACGACTCGGTAATAAAGTTTTAAACTCTGGGAGAATTAATAAAAATGTTTCTACACAGAATGGATTTTTTTTTTTTCCAGAATGGATTTCTTAAACTTGTACAGGAAAACTTTATTCTATTCTTGGGTTGTTGAAGATAAAGTGCTGATAATAATTAAACTGTATATTGAGCTTGTTTTAAGACTAAATAAGTAATCTACACATTGCGGCCTGAATAAAATGAACTGTTTTCTAACTTTGTGTCACATTTCTGGAATTTAGTTATGTACTTAATTGTTTAGAAAAGTTTAAATGCATTTCTGACTTCTCATATGTAACTCCTTTTGGAAGCTGTGACTTTGGAAAATGTTTCTGTAGAGCTGTTATTTCTGCAAAGGGGATGAAAACACGAGCCTGCCCATCTGCCTTTTACACCAAAGACTATGGAAAGCCAGAGCATTTTGATTGGAGTTAGAATGAGTCCAAGATGGAGTTGCATTCTGGTTGGGTCTCTGTACAGTTTTTTTTTAACACGGGGAAATAATATACCCATTCAGAGAATTCTATGAAGATTGTTTTTGACATTTTCATCTCCTCATTAAGTGATAAAGTCTAAAACTGTAGTAGAACTGTAACTAGTATGTTCTTAGCCATTTATAATAGTCCAGACATACCATGCAATGAGTCAAATTATTTCCAGCTGAGAGCTGGACAGGGCTTTGTGTACTCTGGCCAAGGAATAGCCAGAATGGGGAGCATGCACCTCAAGGGGTACACAAGGTAATGTATTGTGGAGAGGAAGAAAATCTCAACTTCTTTTTTTTTTTTTTATTAAAGATTTTATTTATTTATTTGACAGACAGAGATCACAAGTAGGCCGAGAAGCAGGAGAGAGAGAGGAGGAAGCAGGCTCCCCGCTGAGCAGAGAGCTCGATGTGGGGCTCGATCCCAGGACCCTGGGATCATGACAGCCGAAAGCAGAGGCTTTAACCCACTGAGCCACCCAGGAGCCCCTCAACTTCTATTTTAATCAGAGAAAAGGTGAAATTGTGTCGATATTTGATACTCAGATTGGCGCTGGTGCACTCATCGATCTGTGTATAGGTGGTCATCTGTCACATTCCTCTCTGAAGTATCCTGTTGGAAAGTGGAAAGAATTGACTGTGATGTTTTTGTGGGTGTGTTCATTTATATGTTACCAATTTAGTTAAAAACCGACTGTAGATTAACCTGACAAAGATTCTTTTTAAGGGCTTAGAAAGGATCCTGCAAAGAAATTTAAGATTGAAGTTAATATTCTTTTTTTTTTTTTTTTTTTTTTTTAAGATTTCATTTATTCACTTGAGAGAGAGAGAGAACATGAGAAGGGAGAGGGTCAGAGGGAGAAGCAGACTCCCTGCCAAGCAGGGAGCCCGATGCAGGACTGGATCCCGGGACTCCAGGATCATGACCTGAGCCGAAGGCAGTCGCCCCACCAACTGAGCTACCCAGGTGCCCTGAAGTTAATATTCTTCATGATGCAGGGACAGCAGAGGTGGCCTCTGCCGTCTGTGCCCTCCCCATGGACCCTGCGCCGCCTCTAGCTTATCTGCAGTTTCCAAAACCCTCGGCCTTCTGGAGGTGCCTGCTGGCTGCCTGAGCTTCTTGGCTGCGTGTGGGCCAGGCCAGCAGGCCTTCGCCAGTGCAGGGCAGGGTTTGGTGTGTGAACACTCCAGCTTCCTTACCCCTCTGGTGAGAGGACACTGAAGTTCTTCTCTCAGAGTGGCCCTGGTAGGATTGGTTCCCACTGCTTACAGCAGCCGTCCATGTGTCAACACACTGCATACTGCCTTCTGACCTTCCCACTCGCTGCAGCGCAGGGGGCCTCCGGGACTGTTCCCTGATGAAGGCCAAGTCCTGGTGTAGGAGCTACTTCTGTTGTGGGTCGAGGGAGAACTCTCAGGGGACCATAAAAAGCTGTCAGACAAACAGTCCTCCTAGGCCCAGTATTTGCTCTTCAGCCACACTGTGAAATTTAAAATGATAGTGGTCCCAGTGGCGTTCCAGTCAAGTTACGCTGGGTCCCATTTCTGTCATTCACATCTCACATCCATATGCCCTCAACAGATCTGATTTTGCCACTAATAAACTTTAAAATCTTTAAGAATATGACCTATTTTATCCCTAGTTCATCCTTTTTCACTTTGTAGTTTTGTGGTTTTTATTACAAGTTACATGTAAGAATATTTGTATGTTGGAGGAATATGTTCATTTCCCCTGGATAATTGTGTGATCAGTAAGATTGAGAATCTCTTGGAGCCCCTGGGTGGCTCAGTTGGTTGAGCGTCTGTCTTGAGCTCAGGTCGTGATCCCAGAGTTCCAGCGGTCTCCACCACCCCCTACCCACACCTGCTGCCTCGTTGGGCTCCCTGCTAAATGGGGACCCTGCTCCCCCCTCCACTTCCACCCGCCATGGGTGTGTGCACGCGCATGCACTCTCTCTTAAATAATAAAATCTTAAAAAATAAGATTGAAAATCTCTTTATTTGAAGATTTGAAAATCTCTACTCTAAGTTTTGTCTCTTTTTAGCTATTTGAAAAAGATATGGAAATTCCAATACCTTCCCTGTTCTAGCTCTGGATATATGCATTACACGCATGTATGAAAAACTAAGCAGTTCTTAGTAGAATTCTATCCTTGTTTCCATTTCTCCTCTATATAAATGAAGTATTAACTTAATGGGCTGTTATTCACAGATTTATAACTTATTCTTTGGGAACATGATTAAAAAATAATGAACTTTTATATTAACTTAAATTATCAATTATATATTAATGTGTCAGACCAAAGAATTAGTTATCTTAAAAAGATTTGTTATCTGACATGTTGGAAGGAATTAAGAATCCTGGTTAATAAAAAATTCTTTTAAACTAAAAGTTACACCAATGGGATTTCTTGAACACTACAGAAAATTTAATACTTTTGTGAAGAATGAGACTTATAGGGAAAGAAATGGCACATTCTGTTGTGCAGATAGCAGATACAGGGGTGCTGGTTAGAACCAGAATAATGGAGTGAGGATTACAAATCTTAGAGTGTTCCATTTACCTGTAGAAAAGGGGGTGAACTTCTTGGAATCGTTGTGAGAATCTAGTGAAAGAAAATTGCATAACTTAAAAAAAAAAAAAAAGAAGAAAGAAAATCGCATAAGAAAGGTATTCCAGACATTGATCTGATAAATGCAATACAAAATTAAGATCATGCTTACCTTATTGCTTCCTTTGTATACAGTTTTCAGCCTTTTGCTATCAAATGTTTATTATTAATACCATCCAGGAAATTTTGATGCAGACACTATGCTTTATGGATTATCTGAGAATGAAGGTGAAAGACAAGACATTTTCAGAAGAACAAAAACAATTTTCTGCCAAAATCGCTTCACTAAAGGAACTTCTAAAAGATAAACTTCAAGGAGGAGGAATATCACAGGTCTGAGATGTAAGAAGTAATAGCAAAGAAAATAGTAAGCACTTTAGTAAATCTAAAGAACTATTGATAATGTGAGGAATGTCAAATTTGTGGGAGGGAAAAGTCCAAGTTTAATCTTGTTGCTTGTAAGCATAATGCGTGTGAAGTTGGTCATTGAAATTATATCAATCTAATTATCTGGTGTTACTGGGAAGGAGAGTAACAATAGGGACCCATTTTAGACTGGTATGAACTCGACAAGATGAAGAGCTGCCCCTAGAAGAAACAAAGCAGTATGCACTGCGGTGGTATCTGTTGAGGAGGCAAAGGGAAAACAAGAAACAGATCAGTACATGCAGGAGGAAAGTGGACAGTACAGATCAGCACCAAATAGTTGGTAGAGATAAATCCAACTGTAAATGGGTTGAGTGTTCTGCAAAAAATCTTGGTCATTAGATCAGATTTTTAACAATCTGCAACATGCTTTTTAAAGAACTGCGTCGAGAACAGATGCTGAAATGCTGAGAGCCAAAGGTAAAGAAGACCTAAGAAAGATCAAAGGAAGGGGCGCCTGGGTGGCTCAGCGGGTTAAGCCTCTGCCTTCGGCTCAGGTCATGATCCCGGGGTCCTGGGATTGAGCCCCGCATCGGGCTCTGAGCCTGCTTCCCTTCCTCTCTCTCTGCCTGCCTTTCTGCCTACTTGTGATCTCTGTCAAATAAATAAATAAAATCTTTAAAAAAAAAAAAAGAAAGATCAAAGGAAGCTCTGTAGCTGTATAAGTGGACTCTACAGTAACATTTTGTTTTAATGAAGATAGAAGGTTTGATTTATCCTTAAAGTTTGTATGTCTTCAGTAAGATAACTTCTAAAACTATATAGCAAAATTTATAGAACTACAAGGAGAAATTGGCAAAGTCACATCACGGTGAATGTTTTAGTACACCTGGGAGATGAAGCAATTAAAAAAACCGGTTGAAGGGCACATGGGTGGCTCAGTGGGTTAAAGCCTCTGCCTTCGGCTCAGGTCATGATCCCAGGGTCCTGGGATGGAGCCCCACATCAGGCTCTCTGCTCAGCAGGGAGCCTGCTTCTCCCTCTCTCTCTGCCTGCCTCTGCCTATTTGTGACCTCTGTCTGTCAAATAAATTAAATCTTTAAATTAAAAAAAAAAAAAAAACAAACGGTTGAAGGGGCACCTGGTGGCTCAGTTGGTGTCTGCTGCTCCCCCTGCTTGTACTCTTTTTCTGTCAAATACATACAAATCTTCAGTTGGGAGAGAGAGGCAGAGGGAGAAGCAGACTCCCTGCTAAGCAGGGAGCCCAATGTGGGACTCAATCCCAGGACCCCAGGATCATGACCTAAGCCGAAGGCAGATGTTTAACCGACTGAGCCGCCCAGGTGTCCCAAAATAAAAAAAAATTTTAAAAGTCAGTTGAAGACAGAATATGAACACAAAATCAGACTTGATGTAGTGAACATATGTAGCACTCTGATGCAAAATAATGCATATTTTAAACACAAAAAGGAAATTTATTAAAAAGTGATCTTGTGCTGTGAGAAGACATCAAACTTCAAAGAATCCGTATCACGGAGAGTATTTTTCTTGGTTATAGTGGAATTGTCAGAAGTTAACAACAATAAGATGACTAGAAGCCTCCAAATAGAAAAAAATGTCTAAATTTCTTAATCAGTAGATCAAAGAGGGTCATATCATAATTAGAAACTACTAAAGTACAGCTTAAGTTAGAAAAACAGGATAAACTCAAAGGACATAGGAGAAAACAGTAGAAATGAATGAAATAGAAAACAAAACAGGAACAACAATCAAATGAGCAAGAGCTCAGTCTTTAGGAAGGAATAAGAGAACAGAACTATGACTAGAGCAGACCCTTTTTTTAAAGCATATTAACAATTTTATATCAATAAATTTGAAAACAATGGACATCTCTTAACAGGGCTCTAAAAAAAAAATAGGAAAACTGAAAAATACCATAATCATTACAAGATTTGAATT